GCCAATGGGAGCCACCAGAAGATTAGAGGATGGGAAAAGAATGAAATTAGGATATTTGTTGTCCGGACCCCTCCCAACCAAGCTTTGGCTCAGCAAAACTGGATTCCTCCAGCCAAAGGTCTTGGCTCTTGTGGGGTGGCCCTTCTCCTCAGCTACACCTTTTTCTCAAGGTGCCAGTAATCACTCCCTCTGCTTGCGTCTTCAGGCCCCAAATCAAATACATTTGCTTCACTACCCTTGCTGGTTCCCTCTAACCCTGCCCACACCTTTGTAAACAGTTGTTTCATTAAACCCTCTTAACAGCCTTAAGCATGCCAAGTGTTTCCCAAGACCGTGACTAATAAGCTGGGAAGGCCAACCAGAATTGACTGACATTGAGAGGAGTAGATAATAAAGAAACATCACAGTCCAATTATAAAGGGCCATGCTAGGGAATTGAGGCTTTATACTGAAAAACAAAAAAGTTTTTAGAAGTGATACAACAGAGGAGGCAGCTTTGAGAAAATGAATCTAGTGTCAGGGAGAAATTAAATCGAAGGAGAGGCAAAACCAGTTCTGGAAATCAGGAGACTAGTGCAGAGGTCCAGGTGTAATGATAAGGGCCTAATACAGTGTAAGCATTAGAAATACAAATAAAAATTTAGATAAGACAGAGAAAGGGAAAGAGAACGATTGAATGAGAGGTAGGAAGGGCCCCTGCAGGAGAACAAAGCAAAACAAAAGCCAAAGTTGACATCGAGGCAGCTGAAGAGAGAAGGCAGAAACCGGGAAGTCTAGGCAAGGGCCTGTCTGGGCTAGTCTGGGGCAGTTAAGAGATTTAGGAAACAGAATCACCTAGAATGTGCATGGCACAACTGTGGGCAAGGAGGAAGGGAGTCTAAGCCAGAGGCCGCTGGGAAGAGGGAGAAAGAAGACTGGGTGGGCATACGTAAGTAAAGCTTGGGGTTGGAAGCTTAATCCTAGACAATAGTCATCTAATCTAAGGGTCACAAAGAAGCAACCTGCAGGCCCAATGCAGACCAGAGCTGTGTTTGACTCACAAATTCTGCCTAAATTCTGAATTAGTACCAACATTAAAAATTTTGAATATGCCAGGTGGCGCTACTGGTAAAGAACCCACCTGCCAATGCAGGAGACATAAAAGACACAGGTTCAGTCCCTGGGTTGGGAAGATCCCCTGGAGGAGGGCATGGCAACCCACTCCAGTATTCCTGCCTGGAGCATTCCATGGACAGAGGAGCCTGGCGGGCTACAGTCCATGGGGTTGCAAAGAGTCAGACACGACTGAAGGGAGTGCACACACACCTTCAAAATTCCAGGTCGTTGGCCTCTCTGACAACCCTAAGCTCACAGTCTCCCATGCCAGCTCTCGGCTGGAACTGCCCATCTATACCCTGGACGAAGTTAAAGCTCACCCAGCCCCACAGAGCCAAGAGTCGTACTTGTTACCGCTCAGCCCTGGCTGCGTGTGAGCTGTGGTCCCTGCTAAAGGCAATGAGAGCCCGTGGAAGCTCTTAAGGAAACTGAAGAAGACCCCTGTGGGGGAGCTGGGAGGATGACTGAGAGCAGATCAGTTGAATTCAGCATTGTTGAGTGTTTACTATGTGCCAGGCACTGTGCTAAGCACTGAGGAGCCCCAGATGAGGAAGACCAGGGATGTCAAGGTCATTCAGTGGCTGATTAAGAAACTGAGGAACCAGCAAGGGTGTGGAATAGACATGAGAATAGAGATGAAGGTGTGAATGCAAAACCCATGTTGAAGCAATTTGTGTGACAAATTAGCCACAGGGGATAAAGAAGGAAGGATGTGAAATGGGACCTTGCTCTGGGAGGCTATATGGAAGAGAGGGTGTAAGTCACGGGGTTGGATTACTCAAAGCGCAGCAAAGGTCCAACGCACCAGGGGAGAGAAGGAAACCACACCCTTCGGGAACCCTGAGAACCAGAGGAGCGGAGCCCACGGAGGGGTTACGCAGGCAGCAACCGTCCTCTTGACTCACCTCCCCTTGAGTAACGGCATCGCCTGTGTATTCAGGAACTGGATTACTATTTTGTTAACAAATAAAGAAGATGGAGCAACCTTCATTTAGGCCTGCAGGGCCATGTCAGAACTCTACCTCTAGAGCTGTTGCAATGCCAAATGTTTGTTTAAACATTAAGCTGTGAGACTAGTGCTCTAGGAGTGGACCAGGAGCAAATAGATCCAGGAAACAATTCCTCACAGCTCCTTGATGATTCAGGGCTTAAAGTCACACTGGGGTTCTTTAGTTCCCTAACTCTTTGGGAGGAAACTGTAGGAATTTTCTTTAAAGAATTGCTGATTAAGTGTTACTAATGAGGCTGCAGCAATGAAACACTGGCTCCCTTTGCTGCTGAGAAATTTCCTACAAGTTTTCCTAGCCTATATACATTTCAGAGTCAGAAAGCCTCATAATAGGCAAGGACTGATGATTTCACCAAACCATACATTAACTAAGCAGAAAACAAACTCTGTTCATGGAAGGGAAATTAGCTCACATTACAGCTCCAGAAAAGGGGAAAATGTCAGTCAATTGGATTATTGCAACTGAAAAATTTCAGGTTTTGACTGAATTATATGGGGGGAAGTGCCTTATTTCCTTGCTTGCTTTAGCCAATGGGAGCTCGACCGCTCATGTTCTAGTGCATAAAACATCACAATTTAGCTCCCCTTTTACCCCACCATTCACAGTTGGCCTTCAGTCAAGTAAGTATACTGAAGGTTTCAACATTTGCATAAGCCTGTGCATGTCCATCCTGAGACTGTAGAACAAGACACACAGGGGAGGAGGAGCCTAACATAGAATTAATTTGCTTCCAGTCACACAGAAAGGATCCAGCTTTGCCTTGGCCTCCTGAACCCACTCAATGATCACAATAAAAGTATGCATCAGCCTCAGGAGTGCTGTGATTCCCACTCAGAGTTTCACATACAAGAAGACTCTGAGGAATGGAGTTTCATTATAAACAGGGACTGGCCAATTTGTCAGGCATATTGTTGCCTGGAATCCAGCGTGTGAGGTCTTAACACAATGAGAAGAGACTCTTTAATTATGTTATACAAGTGTTCTTTGAATGTGATTGAAGAGATGCCAAATTCAATCCTTTAATGGTTAGGACAGAATGAGGGGGTACCAGGTAACGGGTGTGCCAGGTTCCTAAAGCTCATGTCTTTCCTACATCTAGATAAATGACATAGTTCCCCATTACTGCGTAAGCCTCATATGAGGATATGTCAGCAGTCAGAGACCCAAATCCACGTTCCAGGTAGTGCCAGGCAGGGCTCGTCCTTAACTATTCTGAGTCATGTTTTCTTCAACAATGGAATAAAGGATTGAATTGCATAGGTTCAAAGGTCCCATCCTTCTCTAAACATTGTGATCCTCTAAATGAGGGGGAAAGGGAAACAGGTTCACAAGCAGATACTCAAATGGGAATACTTGTTCTACCAGCTCTTTAAATTGACTGGGCTCTGAGTTATTGCAGCAAAGAATGACAAGGGTTTGTAACCAGGCCTTGAACATAATCAGAATGGAAACCATATCTCCCTTTCTGTTCCCCCAAGTCTGACCATGATCCACTGGGAGCCGCTGTGCACTATCCCAGAAACAAGAAAAATACCAGGAAAAAAAAAAATCACTGAAGGTTTTCTATGTGATGAGACAGGCTATGTTCTTCACATAATTTCTCACAACAACCTGAGAGGTTGGTATTATTATCCCTGTTTTATAAGTAAGAAAACAGACATTGTGGAGCCATGGGCAAGTCACAACCACTTTGAGTCCATTTCCAGAAGTATAAAATAAGTCACTTCGTCCAGCTGACTTTAAAGGCCCCTCCTTCTCTGTGACTCAAAACAAGCTTAGATTTGACTACCTAGACCTTGAAAGACTCATGATTACCATGCAAACCCAGTTGGCCAGAAAATAGGATATCTAGTCCCCCACCTCGAGCACCATTCACAGGCTCACAGAAACACAAAACCACATCTACTAAACCCAGAACCTCCTTGGGATGCTCTCACATTCTGTACTGTAAGCGAGGTGATTATTAAAACCCATTATTTTCCTATGAAGACATCATGGGCTGCCTTAAAGCAAACTGCCAAGGAAAAAAGAAAGCATGTAGGGTAAAATCACCATAGGCCCCAGAAGTCAGAGACTGGTCCCAGGATAAAGACAGAGGTATCTCCTTTCTATCACTGTAGATAGGGCCGGAGCTGCTGCATGGAATGAAAGCTCCCTGAGGACCAAGCTAGGGTCAAAACTTGGAAAATCATTATGATTAGAAAGGAATTACCCCCATGGTCCTTAAGAATCATCACCAGCACCATCAACCCATCATCCACCATGCAATTATAAAGCATCTACTCTGAACACATGGCTCAGCAGCTAGGCTGGTCATTTGCTTAAGATGTCAAGTTCTGTTTTTTCCTAACTGTCAGGATCACGAAGGGGAAGAAGGCCTTAACAACATCAGACAGGATCCAAGGGACAATACAGAGTATCTCTAGAAAGAGCATATGAGATTCTCTTAGGTAGGTAAGGGAGAGGGGTCCTAAGAGAAAGTGAAGGACCTGCTGGGATCACGACTTAGAATAGAGTGCCCAGATCTATTTACTTGCTGCTACTGCTGCTAAGTCGCTTCAGTCGTGTCCGACCCTGTGCGACCCCATAGACGACAGTCCACCAGGCTCCCCTGTCCCTGGGATTCTCCAGGCAAGAATACTGGAGTGGGTTGCCATTTACTTGCTAGGCTGCCCTTAAAAACAAAACCAAACAAGGAAAAAAAAAAAACAAGCTAAATGACAGAAATTTATGTCTAACAGTTCTGGAGGCTGGAAGTTCAAGATCAGGGGCCCTTGAGGCCCTATGTAATGACAGCAGTATAATATTGCTATATTAACCAACTCTTTTCACTTTGATATTCCTAGTTACCCTGGGAGTCAACCCTACTCACAACCAGACGTGTGGCATGGAGGGTTCACCCCAAGGATCTGCAGAACAAAAGGGTCAGATGCTTAAGCTTTTGTTTTCAAAGGGCAAAGTCCAGATTTAATTAGTCTGCCTTATTAACATAAGGCTACCCTACAGCAAAAATTGAACCAGAAATGTCAGTAGCTCAGCAAAAACAAACTTATTTGAGTTGAGCCTTCCTCCTCCATCTTTTAGCAGCATCATTTGGAACACACAGCCTTGAAGGTCAGTGTAACAAAGGAAGAAAGAGAATGAAGAGTTCACATTCCATCTAACATTCTTCAGCCTGTAGAGTATTCTGCTCAGGCTTTCATAACAAGATACCACAAACTGGATCGCTCAAACAGCAGAGATTTGTTTCTCACTATTCTAGAGGCTAGAAGTCCAAAATCGAGGTTGTCAGCATGTATAGTTTCTCCTGCGGCGTCTCTCCTAGACCTGGGCCTCCTTCCGTCCTCCTGTGGTCTTGTGTCTACTTGCACCCCTGGTATCTTTTCCTTTTTTTATAAAGACACTAGTCATAATGGATTAGGGTCCTACCCTTATGATCTCATTTAACTTTAATTCCTTTTTAAAGGCTCTCTCTCTGAACAGTCAGATTCTAAGGTATGGGGATTAGGATTTCGACATACGAATTTTTGAGGGGATGCAATTCAGTCTGTAATAACAGTATTTGCCCCTTCCAAAGCTGTGGCCATAGAGAGCCCCAGTGTGCTCTAAATTTACTGTTCTTTACAAAGTTCTCTCCCCATCTTTCCACCCCAACTTAGCAATTTTACAAAGTAAATCACAGGGGTCACTGGCTGAGTCTGATTTTCTTTTTCCTATTAACATCCACATTTATTGGATTACATAGACTTTTAAGGCTGCGCATCAAGAAGCAGCTAGCTGGCTTTAGATCTAATCTGGCCAGCCTGTAGCAACTTCCATCTACTGCTCCTATTTACCAAATCTTCAAGGGTAATGTGCAATGGGGCAGGGGAAGGTGAAAAGAAAAGAGGAAAGAGAAATGTGCCACTGGGCCCAGAAATGCCTCATCATGGATCAGTCTCCACTCCCTATAAGACAACTTCCTGTGTTACATCACATCAAAATAACGAGCCTAGACACGGGTAAGATGGAGGAGAAACTGTTCTGCAAAGGAGTTTTAGTTTCCTATCAACACGAAATTTCATTTTCTCTGGCAGAACACTAGTCACAAAGACCCACACACATAGACCCAAGGGCCCTGGCTGACATTTCAAGCATTCCAGCTCCAGATGTGTTCAGCCACTAGGAAAAAGAAACCCAAATTATTTTAAGCAGAGTCATTTCACAAACCACCAGCTGTCCCCTGGATAAATTCTGAGTTTTTTAGTTGTAGTTACAAGCAATAATTTCCAATGTACTTATTCATTCAAAAAATATTTATTGACTAATTTCTGGAGAAGGAAATGGCTACCCACTCCAGTAATCCTGCCTGGGAAATCCCATGGACAGAAGAGCATGGAGGGCTACATTCCATAGGATGGCAAGAATCGGACTCGACTCGGCGACTGAACCACCACCACATTCTATGTACCAGGATTGGGGACATAACGGCAATGGCTTGGGGTCCAGAGAGGGCCAACAAGTTCTAATAAACAGTACTTATTTCACTCCTTTGTGCCAGGTATAGACTGGACACCTTAAACTCAGGGGAAAGTATGATTGTCTCCACGGTACAATGAAGAAATCAAGGTGAAAAGAAGTCCCAAAGACAAGCTCATGCTGCTAGTCAGTGGAAGCATCAAGATCAGAAGTCATGTGACCTGACTTCCTGGGCAGTACCTTCCACTTAACCAGGAACTTGGGTAGAAAATAAACATTTATATCTTCATTTTCACTCATTACTAACAAATTTAGCACTTCCTTCAATTTTATATAGTGGCTCAGATGGTAAAGAATCTACCTGCAATGCAGAAGACCCGGGTTCGATCCCTGGGTGGGGATGATCCCCTGGAGAAGGGAATAGCTACCTACTTCAGCATTCTTGCCTGCAGAATCCCATGGACAGAGGAGCCTGGCAGGCTACAGTCCATGGGGTCGCAAAGAGTCTAACACAGCTGAGTAACAAACAGTTCGTTCATCTCAGGCAACAAATCCCAGCAGATACAAGCAGTACCTATGACTTTATCACCAATAGAAATCACAGATATTTTCTTATATTACAGGCATTACCCAAATCTGGAAATATTATTTATGTTAATTACTATTTCAAAATTATGATAGCTATTAGATGCTGCTAGATGATGTTACTTAACACATTATTTTTAAAAGGCATATATACTACTACATCATCAATTCTCTTATTATTTGGACAAGTGATTTGGAATAGGATTCCTTTAAAACACTCTGCCTTTTATTTTACACCTTCAAAAGCACTGAACCTAAAAGTGGTGCTTAGTCTCCCCAAAACTGCCAAACTGGTATATGGCAAAAAAAAGGGGGTCAGAACCCTACACCACAGCAATGGGCAGCCCAGGCAAATCCAGAGCTCTGCTCCCTGTGTCTTTGAGTAAGAGGCTAGGTTGGGATTTTTATTTTTAAACGAGAGAAACGAAGAGAAAGGAAAGCACCCCAATTTCACCAGAGGACCCTTTCCACCAGTTCCTGTTTAGCACGGGCCCTAAATGCTCTCCACGGCTGGTTTCGGCCATAGCTGAAGGATACTTCTTGAGCCCCCTCCCGTCCGTCCCACAGGCTGTGTGGATAAACGCGCCCCACTGTGGGCAGACCAGCAGACGTCACCTCCTACCCCCAGGGGCTGAGAACCCTTTGGGCGCTGGACCACGCTGGGGTTACGCGGTCAACAAGTGGAAGATGCCATAAATTCCTACACACCAGGGCACCAAGAAATTCCCATACACAAGGCCACGGATACATTGGTTTTTAACCTCCACTCGCAGGGCAGCAGCTCCACGACCCCAGGGCGTGGCAAGACCCAGGTTCCTGCAGGGGCTGCAAGAGCTGTGGATGCCGCCGGTGGAGAAGAAACGTGTGAAGTGGAATGGAACGCGATGCACAGGGGCCGCGCTCTCCCAGATGCGGGACAGAGCTGGCTTAACCATCGACCTTAGGGGTGACCTCTCCCCCCGCCGGGTCCCTTTTCCCTGGCCAAGTGCCTGATATCGGCCGCGGGATGCCTCTTACCCAGAGGTGCGCGGAGCCTCCGGCCACAGCGTTGGCGCAGCAAAAGCTGCCGCTCCCTGCGAGGGCTCGCGGCCTCTGCTGGGGCCCGTCCGGCCCCCGGGCGGAGGCTGGAGGCGGGGAGAGCGAGCCTCCCCCCCACGAAAGTTCCGGAAAGGTCCTGCCGCTGCCCCGCCCGGCGCCACAGCCCGGGGAGCCAAGACTAAGTGCAGGCTACACCCGGGCTTCCAGCGCGCCCGGGGTACAGCCGGGGGCGCGGGTCAAGCGGGTCAGGGGCACCGCCGGCGGGCAGACTCACCGCTACCCGCCAGCGCAGCGTGCAGTGCAGCCGGGATCCCTGGGTGCCTCCCAGGAGGGCACGGAGGCCACCTGTCGCGCCCCCCCCCCCCCCATCCCTTGTGCCCACACTGTTGCGTAACTGGGAGGGACAAAGGTGAAGGCGGGTCTGCGGGTAGAGGCCCTGGCGGTTTGTGTCGGTCCTCCATTGAGCCCTGTGCTCCTCATCTGGTCCCCATGGCTGTCCAGAGAAACCGCTTTCCCGCGCTTCTTTCACACGTAAAAGGCAACCGAGGCTGAGAGAAGCCCCCAAACTTGCCTTGGTAAGCAGGCGCCAGAGCAGCGCTCTCAACCCCAGGATGGAGGTCACGGTGAGCAGGTTTCCAGACACTAATCTCCACGCCACGTTGAGTCCAACGTTCATGAATGGACCTTTTCAATTGGCTGTTCTTTCTAAGTAGGTGTGAAGCGCAGGTGAGTAGTTCTCCACTACGTCAGATCTAGAACACCTTTTTATAACATATATAGGATGTCCAGAAGTCTTACTGCAATTTTAAGCTTTAATAATTTCAGGTGTGAGTTAACAAACTTTCCTTTAAAAAGTGCCTTGAAAGTTTATTTCTTTTACATTTATTTCATTCTGTGAATTTTGAATAATCTTTTTTGAATTTTTTGTTTCAGTCAACTTTTTAAGGTGAAATCCTCGCAAACCAAAAATTGAGGCAATCATAGAGAAGTAGGAGCCTAATAAAGTTGAACATCTGAGCTCCTCCCTCTGGTTTTGTCTTGTTGGGTTTATCTATTGAGGTAACACTGGTTTATCTCTGTATACCCTACAGCACGCTTACCACCAAAAATTGTTTCCATCTGTCTAACTTTTTAATCCATCCTACACTCTGTGTTTTTCAATGTGTGAATTCAATCCATTTACATTTAGGATGATTATTGATAAATGAGAACTTTATATTGCCATTTTAACCTTTATTTTCTGGTTGCACTATATCTCCATTGTTCCTTTTCCTTTTGTTTCTGCCTGTTACTTTAGTTTGGTGGTTTTCTGTGATATTTTTGTCAATTTCCTCTTTTTTTTTTAATGTTTCATGTCTCTGCTCTAGATTTTTGTTTTGTGGTCACCATGAGGTTTGTATAAAATATCTCATAGGTAAAATAATCCTTCTGCTGGTAGTATCTTATCTTCATTTACCTATATAGGCTTCTTCCTTTTCCTTTCCCCTCTTTTTGTTTCCCTTGTCTCACATTATCTCTTTACATTGTTAAAAGTTGAAGTATACACTAGTTTGTTTTCTTTTCTGCTCTCCTCCTTAACCTTTATGCTATAATAGTGTTTAAAATCTAATCTTATTGAGAGTTGCAATTTTCTGGTTCTATGTATCACCTGGCTCAAAGTTTTATGTATTTTGCCTTTCTGTTTTCTGGTAGAAGAGCTCCTTACGAGACTTCTTATAAGGAAGTATAGTAGTGATGAGCTCCCTCAGTTTTTGTTTGCCTGGGAAAGTGTTTATTTCTCCTTTATATATGAATGATAATTTTACTGGATAGAGTATTCTTGGGCAACAGTTTTTAATCTCTCAATATTTTAAGAATGTCATTCCACTTCCTTCTGGCCTGCAGGGCTTCTGCTGAGAAATCTGCTGAAAGCCTAATGGGGGTTCCTTTGTATGTTACCATCCTTTTTTCCCTAGTTGCCTTTAAAATTCATTCTTTTTTAAAAATAACTTTGTTTATTTTGGGCTGTGCTGGGTCTTCGTTGCTGCCAGTGTGCTTTCTCTAGTTGCAGGGGCCACTCTCCACCGTGGGGCATGGGCTTCTCATCACAGTTGTTTCTTGTGGTGGAGCACAGGCTCTAGACCACCAGGCTTTAGTAGTTGTAGTGCACAGCCTTGATGATCCATGTGGGATCTTCCTGGACCAGGGATCAAACCCGTGTCTCTTGCATTGGCAGGTGGATTCTTTACCAGTGAGCCACCAGGGAAACCTCTAAAATTCATTCTTTGTCATTGACTTTTGACAGTCTTAATGTGTCTTGAAGAAGGTCTTTTGGATGCTCTCTCAGCTTCACAGACTTGTATATCCAGTTCCTTCCCCAGGCTTGGGAAATTCTCAGGTATTATTTAAATTCTCTGCTCCCTTCTCAAGCTTTTCTTTCTGAGATAGTCATTACCCTAATGTCACACTTCCTAAAAGAGTCAGATAACTCTCACAGAATTTACTCATTTTTAAATATCTCATTTCTCTTTCCTCTTCTAGTTGTATCTTTTCTAGATTTCTGTCCTCAAGCTCACTAATTCTTTCATATGGTCTGCTCTATTTCCAATGCTTTCTCTAATACATTCTTTATCTCATTTATTGAGTTATTCAGCTCCAGAATTTGATTGGTTCTTTTTTTTAAAGTTTCAGTATCTACGGTGAAATACTCCTTCTGTTCATTAATTTTATTAGTAAGCTCATTGAATTGCCTGAGTTTTCTTTTAGCTCACTGAGTTTCTTCACAAGAGCTACACTTTGAATTCTCTACCAATGTGATTGCAATATTCTATGATGTTTAGTTTGGTTTCTGGAGAACTGTCATTTTCAATTTGTGACATGTTGTTACTGTGGTTCTTTGTGGTGCTTGATGCATAGTTCTTCTGCCAGTGCATTTGAAGTAGCCCAGTGGTCCCCAACCTTTTTGGCATCAGGGACCAGTTCCATAGGTCATTTTCCATTGACCAGGGGTGGGGGAATGGTTTCAGGATGATTCAAGCACATTACAGTTACCGTGCACTTTGTGTGTGTGCTCAGTCATGTCCAACTCCGCAACCCCGTGGACTGTAGCCTGCTGGGCTCCACTGTCTGTGTAATCTTCCAGGCAAGAATACTGGAGTGGGGTGCCATTTCCTACTCCCAGGGATCTTCCTGAGCCAGAGATCAAACCCGAATCTCTTGCATTGGCAGGCAGACTCTTTATACCACTTTGCCACCTTTTATTTCTATTATTACATTGTGATGTATAATGAAATAATTATACAGCTCACCATAATGCAGAATCAGTGAACTTGTTTTCCTGCAGCTGTAAATACAGATGTAAATACTCACTTACCCACTGCTCACATTCACTGCTCACCTCCAAAGAGGCTATGGACCAGTACTAGGGGTTGGGGATTCCTGAAGTAGCCAACACCTTTCTGCCGGATTCTAACAATTCAACAGATTAGAAATTAAAGGCCTTTCTTTTGTTTTCCTGTAGGTGGCACTACAACATAAGTTTTGGGTTTCTCTTCCATGCACTGCTTCTGATAAATTATATTCAAGAATCAGTACTTTGTACTCTCTACCACTTCTGTCAGATATGTGGCCCTATGCCCTCCTTATCACATCTGTTCCTCTGGGGTCAGTGTTGCAGGTGTGGCTGCCTTATGCACCGGGATGCTTTCATCCCTGTTTCATCCAGGATCCCCTGAATCACAGGCTCCATCAACACTGAGAGGTGGACAGTGGGAGCAGGCTGGGGATGGGCGGGTGCGTCTGCCATGTGGTGTCAGGTTCGCAGGCAGTAGACCCAGGAGGCTGGAGCCATAGGCATCTCAGCCGCTAGTGGGCCAGTGTCCCATGTACAACTGCCACTGTAGCCCAGCTTTTTGTGCTGCGGGCACTGCCGTGGCCAAGGAATCCCAAGTCATGTGTCTGCCTCCACTGCCACTAGTGGGTTCTCTGGGGCTGCAGTCTTAGCTGCCATGGTTGGAAGACCAGGATTACAGGCACCAACTCCACTGGTACCTCAGTTCTGCCTTTTCTCTGTGTTACACTCAAACCACTTTTTTTTTTCTTTTCCATACTTAATGTTAGGGCAAGAGGGAACACCAGAAATCATGCAGGACAATTAACTGTGTGTGGAACTATCCACACAGCACAGGAGACTGGCATTCCTGGCTCCTACTCTCTAAATGCCAATAGATTATTTCCCAGTCATCTTGACAAAAAATGTCCTTGAGTGTTTCCAAAATGCCCTACCTCACCTCCTAGTCTCACCATTTGAATGACATTAGAACATTCTCTAACACCATACACAAAAATAAACTCAGAATGGATTAAAGACCTCAATGTAAGGCCAGATAACTATGAAGCTCTTAAGAGAAAAACATAATCAGAACACTCTTTGACATAAATTGTAGTAGTATCTTTTTGGATCCACCCTCTAATGAAAATAAAAACAGAAATAAGCAAATGAGACTTAATTAAACTTAAAAGCTTTTTCACAGTAAAGGAAACCATAAACAACAACCCACAGAATGGGAGAAAATATTTGCAAATGATACAACTGACAAAGGATCAATCTCTAAAAATACAAACAGCTCATGCAGCTCTTCTAAAAACACAGTAAAAAAAAATGGACAGAAGATCTAAATAGATGTTTCTCCAAAGAAGACATACAGATGGCCAACAGGAACATAAAAAGATGCTCAACACTGCCAATTATTAGAGAAATGCAAATCAAAACTACAGTGAGGCATCACCTCACACTGGTCAGAATGGCTGTCATTAAAAAATCTAGAAACAATAAATGCTGGAGAGAGTGTGGGAAAGGAAACCCCCAGCAGTGTTGGTGAGAATGTAAATTGGTATGACCACTATGGAGAACAGTATGGAGACTCCTTAAAAAACTAAAAACGGCCTTTTCATGAAGATGGCGCCGAAGGCGAAGAAGGAAGCCCCTGCCCCTCCTAAAGCTGAAGCCAAAGCAAAGGCTTTGAAGGCCAAGAAAGCAGTGTTGAAAGGGGTCCACAGCCACAAGAAAAAGAAGATCCGGACGTCACCCACCTTCCGGAGGTGGGCCCAAAACACTGCGGCTCAGGAGGCAGCCCAAATCCTCGGAAGAGCGCCCCTAGGAGAAACAAACTTGACCACTATGCCATCATCAAATTCCCCCTCACCACCGAGTCAGCCATGAAGAAAATAGAAGACAACAACACACTGGTATTCATTGTGGATGTCAAGGCCAACAAGCACCAAATTAAACAGGCTGTGAAGAAGCTCTATGACATTGACGTGGCTAAGGTCAATACTCTGATCAGGCCTGATGGAGAGAAGAAGGCATATGTTCGACTGGCTCCTGACTATGATGCTTTGGATGTTGCCAACAAAATTGGGATCATCTAAACTGAGTCCAGCTGGCTAATTCCAAATATAAAAGTTTTCACTATGTAAAAAAAAAAAAAAAAACAACTAAAAACGGAACTGCCATATGATCCAGCAATCCCAGTCCTGGACATATATCCAGGGAAGACTATAATTCAAAGAGATACTTGCACCCCAATGTTCATTGCAGCACTATTTATAACAGGCATGACATGGAAGCAACAGAGGAATGGATAAAGAGGATGTGGTACATATATGTGAAACAGAATATTACTCAGCCATTAAAAGCATGAAATAATGCCATTTGCAGCAACATTGATGGACCTAGAGATTATCAT